TTTCATAACTGAATAATCTCAACGGCCTGTAATATTATTGGCAGTGATTTTTTCGTTTTTGTATCATTTAAAATATTGATGTATGCAATTTTATATAGATCATCATAACTGTATATTTTGGTCTTCATATTTAATTAATGAATAACATTTCACTATGCATACATTTTGAAGAGTTCAAAATTTGACTCATACAGCCAAAGCATAATGATTTGTTCTCTAGTAGTATCAGTATTATACAACAACAACAACAACAAAAGAGGAAATCAACTGAGTTATGCAAATTACCGTATATCCATCAATCTCCACTTGCAGATGCGCTCCACGTATTTGAAGTGAGAAACTGTGCCATCCACCATCAGCTACATTGATTTCTAGGATGAGTGAAATTATTGATTTCTAACTTCCGATAACCTAATAATTTCCTCATTCGTCTATAAAACTAATGAGTAATTCAAAGTAATTTGAGGAACCATCAGTAATCCGTTAATATTTCTACGTACTATGAAATTATATTGCAGTGTATTTAAATTACATTAGATTATCTCTTCGATAGCATTGCTCTTATCAGTTCGTTAACATACACCATTGAAATAACGGAATCGATTCTGATAAATGATTCACTTACTTGGATGAGCGATTTGTTTGAAACGGGTCACATTGCTGATAAGATGTAAGCTTTTCTGTTCATCGACGGTAGTCTGCAGTAGAGTCATGTTGTTGGCGTCAATCAAATGAAGTAAAACGGACGGTATCGGTAGAATGAGAAATTCGAATGAGAACGGAAGAAACGAGAACGGAATTATCGCTTGAGCCGATTCATATAGTGTTAGTGATGGTGGCTTTGACATCTATAAATAGAAGACTGTGTGGATTATCCATTTCTCTGACTCCACTACATTAAATTTCTAAAGTATTGTTTGTCAATAAAAAGAAGAATGACAAATATATTGACAATACATTAGATCAAATGATCTAGATGACGTCAAGTAGATATTTTTCGCCTGAATAACATGTACTGACAAAATCTGTATAGTACTGGAGATGCGTTACGCACTTTCTTACTGTATGGTATTATAAAGAACTTCAAATAAAGTATTCTATACTTTGACTTGACATGACTAGTCTCTTACATAACTAGTCTCTTACAAAGTCAGTTCAGTTTACCTTGCCAAATTAATCTGTTACCAATTCAGTGAACTTTAGAAACAGTTCCTTAAACTCTCCAATAACACCAACAGTTGCATTATAAAGAATGTAGAAGTGGATACAGAAGATCCAACCCACTTATTTGACAGACCTCAAAATACGCACTTACCTCTTTGAGTTCATAAATTTCCACAATTTCTTGCAGTCAAGACTTAGCTTGACACGTGAACCACCTTAAGCAATTTACGAACTACTTGTAAAGCGCTGTAGAGGTGCTTGCTTAAAACTGAGCAGCGAACACAACACGATATTAAACCTGTATCCGCATTACAGTATATTCCGTCATATATTTCAATAGCAAGATCCAGAAGAATACGTGCGTGTAAAAGGACAAAAAAAAACTATAGAGTAGTACTCACGAAGACGTAAGCGTATTTCTAGGCGACTGCCTGTAAGATGGGTAAATATTTTGAGACTAATGTGAAACAGCTGTATTCAAAACTAGCAACAATTGTAGGGTCAGGAATGAGTCGCGCCAATGCCACCATGTACGTAGCAGTGCATCGTCATGGATGACAGTTACGCCAGAAGGGAACGAATGCAACATTGTCGAGTGCAACACCTTGCATGAAAACGGAGCGAAGCATCCAAATATTTGAGTAAGTAATTAACTGACTCATCCTGTCACCTCGTAAAATTCGACCACACTTCCATGAAAACATGGTAAATATTCGAATACGTGAGACAACAGCAAATTTCCATAACGATAGTTTGATAAATTTCCAAGTTTTTCAGAGTTAAATCAAGGTGTAGGTCATTTCCTCACCTGACATTTGTGTGCTTCTCCAGGCGGTGCAAATTTCAGCAAATTCACCGAGTTCAACTGCATTCGAGCAACACAACCACTGAACGATGTTTCGATACCGTCCGAAAACTCATCTGGAGCACGTCCGCCAATGTGAATCTTAAAATTTCATCATAATCTTTGATCTCGGCTTGATTAGGTATCAAATCGTCCAAATTTAGCAAATGTTTCAGGATTTATAGAGCGTTATAAATGATCGTTCAGATGATTCATTGATACCAAATGATTTGACTTTACTTCCACCACTATAATTCTGTTGTTACAGTAATTCATTTTAAATATAATTAGTGTAAAAATGTGATCACTTTGAAATTTGAAGTTCTAAGAGATATTTGGTCAATGAATATCACTTTGCAAATTTGTTTTATCCAATAATTTCAAATACACAATGAAAATCAACTGCTATATTTATTTGTAAGTGAGGTAGGTCATCTGAGAAGAAATGATTCCGTGAAGACTCAATAGATTTGAAATCGATTTCATTGAAATGTTCTTATACACAAATATCCCTTTTATTTTATTTATATTATTTTAATTTTGTGGTGTAAACAAAAGAAGACATCATCAAAGGTCTCTAGTAAAGTTCGTTGACAGTAGATAATCCTAACGTGGCGGCCTTGTGTAAATATTCCCCTACTTCGTTGACATTTGACCCTTGTTTACAAAACACACTGGTTCAGGCCATCCTCGTTCTTGATCACTCAGTGAGAAGAGTCGCGTCATTCACATTAAGTTAATAAAAATTAAACTATTACAATAAAGGTATAGTATGCTGGTATAACTACGGTAGCCTCATGATTTCGATGAACGTTTGATACTTTTGCTTATTCGCTTATTATTTAGGATAAACATTAGGAGAAGAATTGACGTAATCCATCTTCTTGTGGAGATGCGCCACCCAATTGAATTGATGTTTAAATGGAGGTATTCGAATAGAAGTGGTCTATACAGCAGATTGAGACAACCAGTCTGCTGCCCTGCCAAGTCACTACTGCTTATCCTCATAGATAACTATCGTGCCAATCGGCTAGCATGAGGTATGAAAGCATTGATTGGTTGGCTTTGGTCCCAATTAGAACCCACTAATACGTTATCAATTCCGTGTGTTACCGTGATTCCTCCTACAATTGGGCTACCCGGTCTATTTGCAAGTTAATGTTTATAGGTGAAAAACATTATCTATTCATAGTATCCGAATCCGTTCTATTCATCGGGTCTCGTAGGCCACATTTTTCAATTGAAAACATCGACCATACCTTACACGACTAAAGATAGATAAGCTTTGGTGTTGATCAATCCCTTGCGGCGGGATGCGCCTATACATTCGTGTTTAACATGATTAACGGGAGGTAGTTAAATGCAAGCCTGGTCCACACAGTGACTTGAGGTGACCACTCTTCACCAAGTCAGTGCTCACCCAGACTTCTCTAGTACCAATTTACAGAGCCCGGAGGGATGGAGGGCTTCGTAGGCCTGGAGCAGTCACGAACTGATTCGGACCGGCGTGTCACCGTGGCACCTTACGCACCGCGCCACTGCGTCCCACCACGAAAGGTACTAGAATGTCTGACATATCAAGTTATCCCGCAATTATTAATTATTATCACTAGGGATTTCATGCTGCAGTTTTCAAGGAAACATTAATGAAACAAATTGAGAGCAATCTTTGGTCAAATGATACCTGATCATGAAAATCTAGTTTTCTGTAGAGTCCTGTGGGTGCCGTTTGATTCAGCACGATACCGTCAATGATCAATTGAATTGAATCAAACTGATGTATCCATCGGAATTCGTGCCATCTACCATCATCTAGAGCTCTTCCAGCGCTAATGTGCGAATGTGTAAGAGATCCTAAGTAAAATTCGAATCTTTAAAAATAAAATTTAGCATCGATTATATTCATTAAATATACTAACAAATGAGTCATTTTGACAAAAATCGTTCGGTTGAGACTGAAAGATGACAATAAAGAAAATGAAAAATGCTCAGATACATTAGATAACATCATTAAGAGCTTAGAAGTTCTGCTTAAACAGGCACTATTTACTTCGGAATCCTAAAATTTAATTGAAAACACGTGAGAATATAGTAGAAAATACATCAGTACTTCAGAGTAGTACATCAGAGCAAACTGTTTGCAGCTGATTGATATTATTAGATAATAATTATATTTTTCTTTTTGAAAGAAAGACTATTGACTGTCTACTTAAATGAAATTGTAGGCAGAATGGTTATAATTACCGAAGTCGAACATGACATGAATTGTGCCATGAAGAATCTGAGCAATAAGGATGTCACCCTGATCGGCCATCGAAAACAACAGCACACCAGAACGATAGGAACGAAAAAGTACGATGAGCTCATTCTCGTACATCGACACCAAACCGGCTCGATGTGTGTCCACAACATAAGGACTATCGTCAAATACAATAATTGATGATTCTGAAAACATGCAAATGAATTGAGTGAAATGTAAGTTTTGTTCTCTTTTCGTTACTCTCGAGTCAATGACTAAACAGTTCAAAATTTTACTTCTATTATGGTAGTGATCGTTACAGAAGATGTTCATAATGAAATCACACAATAATCAGTCATACTACAGGTCATTCATCTGGACAAAACAAGGACTACTACTTTTATAGATTGAAATTCTGGATAATTTTTCATTAATCAACACTCTCAACACCTTGTTTTTTTATTTGAATATTTGGATAGCCCTTGTTTACTTATGGCTCGGATCAAAACAGTCTTCTTATTATCATTGTTAGCCACAAACACGTCCGTCTTCCATTCTTGTAGAAGATCATACAGAAAGACAAATGCATTCACTTCAGCTTTAATCTATACATGGTTTCGTTCATCGTCACTTCTTATCACTGCCATCCATGCTACGGTTCTTACGGAAATTCTTCTAAATAAGAATATGAAATGGTTTGAAGGTCTAAATTAGGAAATTGGGCATGATATCATACTTGCGGAAGACTTTTTTGTTTATTATTGAGCATATATTTAAATTCTAACAATACAGAGAGCATTAGCATGCTCCTCCCAGCGCAAGGACGACACGCAAATTTACGAAACATTCCAGAATTGCTTGAGGAAGCTGTGGTACAGTGGTGAACGTACCACAGTGATACGCAGGCCCGAATCAGTTTAGCGGTCGCTTCCCCGCCATCTCTAATAGGTCGGGTAAATTGGTTCCAGATAAATCTAGGTAAGATGAGCAGCATTGATTTGGTGAAGCGTGGTCAGTTCAAGTCACTGTATACTGCCTACCGGTTGTATCAGAAGATCAGAGTAAACGACCTATCGAAATTCAAAAAACTTCTGACTCACTTCAAGTACTAACTCTTGTCTGGTTTAGGAAGAAACTTGGAAAATACTAGGATTGAAATAGTTACAGGTGTATTATGTGATGAGTATTCAAGAAGCACGAGTGTTCCGACTCCTACATGATTCAATAAGAGAATGCATACACCTTCACATCATCTTTCATGTTCAAGAATTTCCTTAATTACACGTGACGTCTGGATAATTCCACCCGACGTCAAAGACGTCTACACCCAGTGTGCTGTGTGCTGATGCCAATGCCAGTGCATTCTTAAGCTTTAGGAAAGTCTCGCTCTAGGAAAGTCCAGTTGTTCTAGCGTTCTCATAATGATCACCATAGCAGACATAGATTTTATTCCTTATTTTTTTCATGTGATTTTATTTTCATCAAGATAACTGTAATTTTTGAGGAGTTTCACTTCTATAGGAAATACTTCAAAGCCTTGAAGATGAGGTATTCCTCTATAGATTCGTACTTTTACTTTACTAGAGTATAGCAATTGTTGTAGAAATCTTACCGACATCACAGACAGTTAACATCAAAAGCGGACTTCGAGTGTCGATCTCTTCTAACTCATAGGCATTTTTGATTCGTAACTTTGATGCGACGTAATCAACATGATTCCATTTGGGTGTATGAGAAATCGATGAGTACACGATCTAAATAGGGGCTTTGAAACAATGAGTTCTCCTTGAAAACATTTTCTTCATTAGTAACTCACGCAGAATTAAAATCTGACACGGAAATGATTACTATAATATATTTTTAATTTCTATTAACTATGATAAGTTATAATAAGGTTATAATATCGGTAATGTTCCTGAGTTAGTCGCAAAGCTTAAAAATTCAAGCGAAACTTGAACTCGAATCTACAGATATTCGGTGTGTTCTGCTTATCCACTGTACTACTGAGCATCATTAGCAGCATTAAAATATCATTATAACTCATCATAGCTTAACTGGATGCAATGCCGATATCTGTCCACTTGTTAACGGACCAGTACTGATGAGATACCCACTTAGTATAAATGAAGCGTTGATTGGTGGTAGAGAGAGGAGCTCGGTAGTGTAATCGGTAAGCTCAACAGACTGAACATCATGCTGGGTGCAGGCTTGAGTCTCGTCTGAGGTCCGAAGTTTTGCGAATAACTTTGCATCATTACCGATAAGACCATGTAAGCTTATAGTAGTAATAATAGCGAAAAGCACTAGTGAAATTTGTTACAGCGGGATGTACTACGCTATAATTCTCATCATGAGCGTGGTGATCGAACGCGAATGATCTACGCACTTCGTTGAGGTGATCAAGATGATCACCTTTAATCCATTCAAAACTGCACATCTTCCTAAATGATTATGGTACTAGTTGACCGAGCAGATGATGTTTTGATTTGCTTAGGTGCGGATTCGAACCAGTGTATCATTGCACAGCTCCAGCTACATTAAATTAAAGAGTTCGAATCAATAGTAATAATAATAAATAAGTGATAATATAGCAATCATATTTAAAAAATAATAATGATTACCAAAGGAGTCATAGCAAATATTATTACCAAGCTCAAAGCTTTTCCTTCAAGCATAGCTTTTCCTTTTCATTTTTGGCTGTTAGCAGATTGGTTCAACTCAATATAATTAAAAACATCATAATATCATTATAGAATAAAAAGTACATTAAAGTATTCTCGTTTTAATATTCTTCTGATGAAACTCATCGTAGCAGTTATTTGTTGAAGTTCAACAGCTTTTCATAAAGCGAAAACAAATCAT